TGGACGTGGAGAGAGAGCTCAGCTGAAGAAAGGAAATAGAAACACACGCCCCATCGAGGCCATTCTGGCTCACAGTGACCTGGAGGACAGGGTCGAGCCGGCCCCGTGGGTTTCCGAGACTGTCACTCTGTGCGGGAGTAGAAAGCCTCGTCCTTGTCCTGAGGAGCACATGGTGGTTTTGAACTGCTGACCTTGCAGGTAGCAACCCAATGCATAAGCACAGGGCCCTCGCCCCTAGGGCTTGCCCTCACTGAAGAAAAGACTCTGAGACTAAGAGAATGGCCGTCAGAACTCGCCCCCACTCCCCCTATCAGCCGAAGGCTGCATGGCTGTGGCCTGGTATCGCCCATCTTCCTGGAATGGCCAGTCCCTCTGGCTGAGCCTTCACACTCCACTTCCCTCCTCCAGGTGACCATGGGAGCTTCTGAGGGGCAGGCAGAGGGCGTCTGGCTCTGACCTGGGGAGGGGAGAATGCCTGCCGCTTAGCAGGAGGCTCCGGCCACCAGGCCAGCCTTCGAGTTCAGCCAGGCCTTGGTGCACAGGCCTCCCACTGGGCCCCACTGGAGGGGTTGGCAGCAAAGTCCACTGTGGTTTTCCTACATCTGAGCCGTGCTCAGCCAAGCCGTGTCCCCTGGCTTTTTTGTTATATGTATAAATAGACTTCATTCTTTAGAGCACTTGCAGGTTCGTAGGGAAAAAAAAAAACTGGTGCAGTGAGTGGAAAGAGTTTCTGGCTCACTGCCTGACTCTGCTCCAACCATTCTGACCCCAGCACTGCGGTGGGTGGCCGGCAGGAGGTAGCCCCACCAAGATGGCACTTGTTGGTGTCCAACCCAAGGCTCGCTCTGTCCCCTGGGGGACGTCCTGGTCTCAGCTTCTCCACTGGTCTTCTGAGCACCCTCTGTGGCAGCCTCCTCCTGGTACCCTCTTCCCCCATCTGTGTCCCCTGGTCTCCACACGTAATATGCCCCTGGGACTTGTCTCTGCATCTCGTAGGTGATTGGTATTCGACCTCCCACCCCCACCCCCCGCATGCATACATCCCCATGAGCCTACCCCCAAACACCTGACTCCCAGATGGCAGCACCCCCACAGGTGTGGGGGGGAGGGTCCCAGCACGTGTGCTGGGGGGACAGGTCACCCAGAGCACCCCCTGCCCCCAGTATTCCCACCTTGCCATCCTCTGTCCCCCTATCCCGTGGATGGACCCACAGTGACACACTGTTGCTAACTGAAGCCGGCAGGGACAACAGGGTTCCTGTTCTCTGGGTCATCAGGCCCTGGGCTTTGTCGACTGCAAGATGCCAGTGTCCACATGATGACACCACAGAGGCCAGTGTCACTGCCCCAAAGTTGTCCCCTTCCATTTTGGTTCTCCCCAGGGCGGGGCTGGCCCTGTCCCGGTGGGAAGTCCCGAGGGCCTGGCTGCTGGCTATGCAGTTCCTGCCCCACCGAAGCCGGCCTCGGTGCTGCCATCTGGAGAGTGGGGACTGGACGGGTGGTGCCATGCTGAGGACCATTGAGAGGTTGGGTGCAGCCGCAGCAGCGTGCAGGGTACTGTGCTAAGGAACCATGTCCAAGGGGTCAACCGGCAAAGCTGAAGTGGTCAGACGGGAGGCTTGGGAGCAGTGTGTCTACACACAGGGCAGGAGATGGCTCCGAGGACAAAGGTGGGGATGGCTGCACAGAGAGGCGTCCGTCTCATCAGCGTCATGGACTTGTGCTTGGGGGTCAGTGGGTGTTGCTCTGCGTGCATGCTCAACAACAGCCATTAAACATACGCACACATAGCACACACACACCATGCACATACACACACACATTTACACACACAGAAAGCACACACATACACACCATCCACATCCACACAGCACACACATACACACACCACACATATTACACACATATACACACATACATATACACTCACACATACCCACACACACAGACAGCACACACATCCACACCATCCACATCCACACAAACAGCACACACATACACACACACCATGCACATACCACACACACATGCAAACATACATATACACGCATGCACTCACACACAGACATGCAACACACCATCACATACACACACCACACATACATACACACATGTATACACAGAGACATACACAGACACACAATACATGCACATGCACACAGACACAATAATGGCAGCGAGTGGTGGGCTGGAACCGCCGACCTCGGCGTGGGTAGCAGCCTGCTGCTTTCCTGCCTGGACACCAGGGCCCCTTCACAGTGTTTCTTAAGGTGATGCTGATGGAGATCACGTGCGACTTTTCTAGGTCTCAAGAAAGAGCTTCTGTCCAATGGCCTTTTGACTCCAGAAGCCATAGGCTGGCTCTAATCCTCCTTCTGCTGAAGGGGCAGAAATGGGGCATGACCGGGCTGGTGGGTGAAGTGTTTCTGCACGGGGTGATGGCAAAGTCTGGATGGAGATGTGACGCGGGGACACGGCTCTGTGTGTTGCTCCCCCTGGTTGTTTGGTCTGCAGGCTTCGTGGTCTACCGGTTTCCACAGCCCAAAAGCGATGGCAAGCTGGGGGGCGGGGGGCACGTAGAATTAGCTCCATAAGCGAGCTCTGCCTTGTAAAGACAGGCACACACACCAGTCCCTCAGGGCGCACTTGTGCTGCACAGGCTGCATGTCATTCTCTACGTCGTAAGTACTGTTACACTGAAATCACCAGGGTTCCTTGCGCCGCAGGAACAGAACCTCTAGCCGATGTGCTTGGCGCTGTCGAGCCAGCTCTGGTGCACCGCGAACCCATGTACCACAGCCTGAATCCCCACCGGGGTGGCGCCGTCCGCACCGTCATTGCGATGTCGGGGCCCACTGTTGCAGCCCATGTCATGGCGGGTCTTCCTGTAAGGGTCTCCCACCCTGAGGGACGACAGTCGGCTGCACTCAGAGTGAGGGGCCAGGGAGCGAAGGCCAAAGGTCACGTTCTTAGAGCTGCAGAGAACCTGAGTTTGGCAGAGCTGCGTGGAGGTGGCTGGGGTAAAGCACAGAGGCCACACGGGCAGCACTGGCACCATCGGGGTCTCCCTGGGAGCCCCTCAGCAGCGCTGCTCTGGGGCAGAGCCGGCCAGCCATGAGCAATCAGAGTCCCGGGGGGGTCAGAGGGAGGCCGCTCGGCGACAGTGCAGATTGTAATCCTCTCTCCTTTCTCTCTCTTTCCCTAGAAAGCCCAGAACACCTCGGGGACACGTGACTGAATAAAAGGTACAAAGGCCCCCTCTTTTTGCACAGGACCGCGTGTGACAGATGGGAGCGTGTGGCGCAGCTTGGTTGCTGCTGCTAACAGTGCAGTGTTTCAGGGAAGGGAGGGGAGGTGGGGGGCTGGGCTCAGCCCCTCCGTGGCACCCCCTCTCTGCTCCCTTTGATGGGGAGGGGGCAGCAGGGTAGGGACGAAGGGTCAGGAGTTTGGTTTTCCGACACAGTGCTCCACCAAGCGGAGTGGAGCCACTCTCCCCACCCTGCAGGGCCCCCACCCCCACCTTGGCTCTCCGTGGACAGCGAGGACTCTGGTCCCCAAGGTCAGTCGGGGCTCTGGTTCTGGGCGGTGAGATCCTCGAGGGGCCCTGTGGTCAGCTCAGTCCTCCGTGTGGACGTGCCTTGGAGGGATTTGGGTGTCCCTGGCTCCATCCTGACCCCGGCCTGCAAGGGTGCCGCTCTGCTGTGCTGTGTGGAGGGAGGGAGTCTGTCAGTCTGTCAGCACCCCAGCAGCATGTGCTGGGGTTGAACGAGATTGACCACCCCCAGGGGTCGGCACCCAAGGACAGCAGGTAGGACAGTGCCCACATCAGGGCAGAAAGCATAAGAGCTCCCTATGCCCGAACACTTGAAAGTGGTCTCTGGACAGTTGTTGCCCCATTTCCACCATTGGCTCAGCAGAGGGCTCCGTGGAGAGCCCCCTGTGGCAGGGCATGGGGCCACCACGGGGCTGGTGTGGAGAACAGAGCTGGTACCCAGCCGGGCAGGCACAGCGACAAAGTGGAACTTGGGGGCCCTGGTCATGTGGCTGTGTGTGGTCTCCCTCCGTGGGCGCAGCAAGAGCCTGTGGACATCTGTGCCGCCCCCCTCCCCGGCGTTCCATGTACCGGTAGTTCCCTGGAGGAGGAGAGGAAAGAGCGGTGTGTGGTGGTGTCGTGGTTACACACTGGGCTGCTAACCAGTCAGCTGTTCAGAGTCACCTGGGGAGAAAGAGGGGGCTTTCTCTTTCTGCAGAGTTACAGTTGCAAAGCCCAGGGGCAGTTCCCTGCTCTCCTATAGGGTTGCTCTCCTATCAGGTCGCTATGAGTGGGAACCTACTCGACTGGCAGTGAGTTAGGTTTGGGTGTTATAGTCCCACTGTGTGTTCACATCCAGGAGCCGGGCCTCGCCTCACCAAGCCGCCTCCTTGAGACATCATGTGTGTGGACTGGGTCTTACCTCGATTCACTTGGGAGGGGGTCTCCAGGTGGCCTTTTGTGGGCCCACGACTGGTCCTGTGCTGTGCGGAACGGGCCCAAAAGTGCCAAGCAAGGAAGCGGGGCGGTCTTGCCCATCCGTTTGCTTCCGTGCAGCCTGGACATTCCGAGAGGCAGCGCGGTTGTCAAGCATATCAGCAAGCCCTTCCTTGCCCTTGTCGACAGCAGCGGCCACGCCTGAGCTGGACGGGGACTGCCCGGGCGCCCCTCACCAAACAGGATGCGGACCCTTGTCTGTCTGCATGAACTTTCAGACGTCCGAATTCTTCCGTGAGCTCCTCCCTGGGTCAAGAGTCTTGGTGGTGCGACGGGGAAGCGCAGTGACACGAATCAAAAGGCCCCGTATCTGCCCCGCGCCAGCCCCAGCCAGAGGTGGCCGTCCACTTCCGTAAAGATCTCCAGTCTCGGAAACCCTCTGGGGCAGCCCTGCCCCGTCCTGTAGGGCTGATGCTGGACAGCAGTGGGTTAATTGGTAGGTGTGTCAAGCTACATCATGATGTTTTAATTCTCATCTGGTGCTATTGGGCGGACGGCGGACTGCGACTACAAGGGCAGTGGTTCAAACCCTCGGGCCGGCCGCTCCCCGGGAGAACTATCAGGACACATGGGAGCCCATATAGGGTGACTGCGAGTCCACATTCATTTGATGGCAGTGAGTTCAAGAAGACCCATGGAAGGAGCCTAGTGGCACCATGGTTAAATCAACTCCACTGCCAACCGAAAAATCCGTGGTTCGAACCCACCAGCCGTTCCACAGGAGAACGATGAGGCAGTCTTCTTCCGCCCTGGTGTGTAGCCTCAGGAACCGAGGGCGGGGATTCTACTCTGTCCTGTAGGGTCACAATGAGTCGAGGGTGCTTGACAGGCCCGGGGAATCCACTCAGCTGTCATGGCTTTGATTTTGGTGCTTTAAGGGCCAATGATCGTGCCCAACATACCTCCTTCAGCAAAGTGTCTACTCACGTCTCTTGCTTGTGTTTTATTGGGGGATTTGTTTTGTTATTACTGCTTTGGGGGGTACTCTCTACCTCTTTGGGATGCAAGTCCTTCACTGAGTATCTATGTTGTAACCATTTTCTTCCCACGGGTAGCCTGCCTTCTCTGTCATCTGGTCTCCAGGAAGTGCAGCTTAGCTACTTGCTCATGAGAGAGCATGGTCCCAGGTTGGCTCTCACAGTTTCTTCTCCTCAGGCTTCCGGGTTGTCTGTTCAGGTCTGTGGCCCACCGTGAGTGGGGTCTTGTGCATGGCATGAGGTAGGGATTGAGGGCTGGGCTCTGCAGATGGTTTGCCAACAAGAGTGCCACTCATTGAGAATATGGCCCTTTCCCGTTGAATGGCCTTGGCACACTTGGCACGTACTTGTGGGTTCACTTCCATTGTCTAGATTCCACCACAGAGGTCTGCTTGTCTACCTGGACCCCACCGCGCCATGGCTTTTTGTGGCTTTAGAAGTTGGGGGAATCAGGTAACGTTAGCTCTCTGGTTTGTCAATTCTCTTCAAAAGTTGCTTTGCAGCATTTCAAAGGGATCCCTTGTGGTGCAGTGGGTTACACGTTGGGCTACTAACCACAAGGCCACCAGTTCGAAACCACCAGGCGCTCCGCGGAAGACAGATGAGGCGTTCTACTCCCATTAAAGAGCTACAGGCTCAGAAACCCACCACAGGCAGTTCTACCCTGTCCTATAGGGGGTTCTGTGAGTTGGAATTGACCCAATAGCAGTTAGATTATTATTTTTTTTTTTAGTTTTGCAATTCAGAGCCATTAAACTGTGATACGAAGTTTAGAATTTGCATGTGAATTTCTGCAACAACAAGAAAAATCCTACTGGAATTTTGATTAGGACTGTATTGATTTATAGACCAGCTGAGGAATGGCTTACATCTTAATGATATCTGTTTTCTGGCCCATACACCAGGAGTGCCTCTCCACGTGCGGCACGGATTCTTTGGTTCCGATCAGTGCATGGGGCTGGGACATCCTTATTTCATAGGTTCTGGTGCTATCGTTGATGGTACTTTTACTCCAATTCCTACTTGGTGCTCAAAAAGCAAAAACCAAACTCACCACCATGAAGTTGATTCCAATTCATAATGGCCCCCATAGGACAGAGCTGAACCTCCTGGTGAGTTTCTGAGAGTGTACATCTTTCAAAGAGCAGACAGCTTCATCTTTCTCCCTCGAAGCAACTGGTGGGCTCGAACCACTGAACTTGGAACCCACCAGAGGGCCTGGCTGCTTGTTGCTTCAGAAGAGTCCTGGGAAAGTCTGCTCCTTTGCATTCCATTGCCCACCAACTTTGTGAAGCCCCTCCTGCGAGCATGTGTTGATCCGTCGGCAACATCGGTCAACGCCCGTCCTCCTTCCTACCGGTAGCTCCTGTGTAGATTCCATCAGGCTTCCAGTGTAGCTGATGGCGTGGGCTGTGAATCGAAGACGGCTTTACCTCTCTCCTCCTGGGGTGCTCTGGAGGCTGTGAGATGGCCAACCACGAAGTTGGCAGTTCAAACCCACCAGCCGCCCCTCGGGAGAAAGATGAGGCTG